TTCTTGAAGAAATTTAGAATTGAGACATACAGGTCTCATTGGAAAAGAATTGAAGCAGAATACTTAATGCTGTGAAATTTTCCAGCAGTAATATCTCCAGAATAAATCCTGACACAAATATACATATAAATATATATCCAAACAGAAGATTCACTCAGTCAAGGTCTGTGTGGAAAACGTGGACTAGCACAGTAATAGCAGCTAGGCATATTTTTGTCAGACTTCTTTATATGCATATAATCTCCAATAGAGAAAACTGTGGTGGTATAAAAAACTTGAAAACTATTTTGCTTGAAGGAGTTCTCCTTTCCCCACTCACATTTTAGCTTGCTTTGGTAAATGTACAGTTACAATAACAACAATTTCCCAGAGCTATGGACCATGTTTTAAAGCAAAACATAATTCCCATATGGGGTTTTTTTTATGGCAGTATCTTAAATATAACTAAGATATGTAAGACACTATGGCTTTTCAAAAAGCAAATACAGTATTTCCTATGAACCTAAAGCCCTCCACTAACCTCAAGTTGAACAAATAAAATTAATGTACACACAAGTGAACTCTGAGTTCACACCATTTGAGTTTGAAATTTTAAAAAGCCATTTTAATTGCTTTTCTGAGTAATGAAATCTATCTAAACTAGATGCTTTACTTTGATGTTCTGCTTTTGTGGTAAGGTTTCATATTGTTTTCCAAGGAATGAGACAGCAATTCAGTGATCTTTGTTCCATCTTTTAATCACTTTTAAATACAGAGAAGAGCCAGTGGGGCACTGGCTCTGGATTTTCCAATTCCCAAAAAAACTCAGTTACAGATAGGGCCTAATTTATTATTTGAAAGAAAAACTACATAGCAGTGTATCAGAAGCATATATGCAGTAAACAGCAGAATACCTTTAAACTCACTGAACACAAAAGTTGGTGTGACAGAGCTCTGCTTCCAAATTTAAACTACAGAAAAAAAACCTATTTAATTGTTCAATTAGACTCATCCTTGTCCCAAAAGAGCAGTTAATAGTATTTATGGAGGCCTCTGACAATGCATTTATACTCTCTGCTCTACACAGCAGCACCAAGTTACCCTCACACTTTGCCATTCTGTGCACACAAAGTAACAACTGCATAGATATTTTCAGTTTTGTTTGGTTTTTATTCCCTCCACCCCAGACCACGAAAAGGGAACAATGTCCAAAAAAAGCTCTAAGAGGACTTGCCATCTAAACCAATCTCTAGCGTGTAGTTTAGCCTGTCGAAGAGCATGCTTATTACAGAATTTAGAGTTTATTAAGTTATACCCAAATGGAACAAAACTTGCTCATTTGAACCATCAAGAATTTGGAGGCAGTATTTTCAGCAACTTCACAATATACATGTGAGAAATACACACCGGAAGAATTACAGGCAATATCCTTTAGCCCTAGAAAAAGGTTCAAGCTACAGTTCTGTCTCTTGTGATCTTCCCTCGCTATCTTACCAACCTCTCAGTGTCAGGACACTCTTACACATACACACTAAAGGCGTGACAACACAAATGATTCGTGTAAATTAAAAAATTTGTTGGTCACATATATATAGGTATATCAGATGTGCTGTACAAACCCATACAGATTTGTTTCTAAGAGAGGAAACCAAAATCGGAATTACACACATTTCACTATAAAAAACTAACTTGACTTGCACCATTTCTTCATGCAAAGGCGGAAAAATATTCAAATAATTTATTATTTTCTGCAACACCGCACAGGGGAAAATCTTCCACTGAAGACCGGCAAGAGCGTAAAGAATGTACAACGCCAAATCACGAACAGAAATTGTACCGAGTCACACAGAGAAATCGCACTAGGCTACCTGTTTGCAAACAGGAGCAGACTTTACAGCGCAGCTTTAGAGAAGTGCGCATTCACCAGCGCGAACACAGCACTGAACTACGATTCGTGGGCACCCGGGAGACACTTTCCATCAACAACGCCACGAGTCTGGCAGGCGGCCCCTTCCTGCAGGTGCCGGTGGCTATTCCGGGGGCGCTGGGGCAGCCCCGGCCCCCGCCCCGCCGGGCTCGGCGGGCAGCGCGGCGCCACGCGGCCTCACGCACAGGGGCGGCCCGGCCCGGCCTTGCCCTGCCGCGGCTCCCGGGGCGGAGGCCGCGCTCTGACGGCACCGGGCTTGGGGGGGGGG